TAGTAGTAGTAGTCGTAGTCGTAGTCGTAGTCGTAGTCGTAGTCTTAGTCGTAGTCTTAGTCGTAGTCGTAGTCATCGCAGTCGTCGTCGTAGTCGTAGTCGTCGTCGTCGTCGTAGTCGTCGTAGTAGTCGTCGCAGTAGTCGCAGTAGTAGTAGTAGTAGTAGTAGTAGTAGTAGTAGTAGTCGTAGTAGTAGTAGTAGGCGCGCCCTTCTAGCAACCACCTCTCCTAAACACAGTTTAAGAGCACATCTATTTAACTCGGTATTTGCAGTACTTTCGTGATGTCGCAGTCCAATACCAACCACCGCTGTTGAGGGGTGCAGGTTGGTTTTAGAGCACATCCATCTTACTGGGTATTTACAGCGCTTTCGTGATGTTGTAATCCACACACCAACGATGATGATGTTGGGCTTAGGCGCCAGGTGGTTGGTAGAGCGGGGGGCTGCTAATAGTGGTAGGAATAATAGTAGTAGTCGTCGTCGCACTGGTAGCAGCAACAGCGGCAGTGGAAATTACGAGCAGCTCGAAGCTGACATGCTCTAAGTACTAGAAACAGCATCGGCAACCACATTTCCCACAGCGCATGCGATACCAAACAAAAGTCCCGCCAATAAAAACTTTGGCCTGTGCTATGCGAGCTGTGCGATGCCTTGCCAGTATTAATACCAGTGCCATTCTCCGCGGAGGCCAAGTGACGCGGAAGCCGCGATGGCCCCACTAACGTAGCGCTTCGCCTCCTGCAAAACTTCGCTGTGGAGTTGCGCAGCTGTTCAGACATCACAACTCCAATGACCAGACCTGTTTAAGTGGCACTGTTTCTTGGGCTTTTGGTTTTAAAAGATCGTGCTGACAAGGCCTTAAAGGCTTTGAAAGCAACCATCAGCTTATAAATCGTTCTGACATGCTCGGTCCACGAACTAGTCTCACAAACGCCATGAATCTGGCATACTCTCTGGCCATCTTTACTCTCCTCGGCCCGATTGATACACCATGCAAATACGTCATCGTGGTCGGGACTCGAGTTCTGCCAACCCTGAACCCAAACCCGCCAAGCTAAGCTGCTTCTGCTCTTGAGGCTTTCAACCGGGGCGGCAATATGCGGACAAGGATAATATTAAATAGACGGCATGGCTGCGCTGCAAACGCGCATCAGCTCGCATAGCTCATCATCATCATCATCATCATCATCATATTGTTGAGCTTGCCGTCGCCCTTGTAGTTCGCGAGCGGCAAGGTGTAGACTTCTCACTTCGCAGAAGCCCTAACAAGCCAAGCAAAAGCAAAGCGTGAACAGATGAAAGTACCGTCACCTCAACCTCCATCCCTCCCACAAGACCCGGAACCCCCAAGAGGAAAGAAGGAGAGAAAACATGAGCATCGAGACAGAGGAGCGAGCATCAAGGGCATCGAAGCAAACCCCCCCACACACATGGGTTGGCAAACCCTAGGCAGCATCACGGCCATGTCGGCTCGCCCACATGCGGTCGACAGTAGTGGCCATGTGCGCCAAAGCATTATTACTACCAACACCCCGAGTGATCCACCCGAGTCGTTTGGCTCATGTTGGGGAAAGCTTCCCGGAGCCGTTGGATGCTTCCCCAAACAAATTCGTATGTGCTTCAGGTAAACATAAGACACATCCTAATCACGAGACTACAGTTCCAGCCTGCACGGCCATTGGCATCTCCATGCCTCTCGCCAGGCAGCTGGCGATGGAGGAAGCAAGCGTGCAGCCTCCAAAACAGCACCCAGAACTCGAAGCACAAACAAGGAGGATCGTGCTTCCTTCACTCTCTGACGAATGTAGTTCAACTCTCGCATAGAGTGATTAAGCTGTCAATGCGAAGTGTGCAACACAAGGAGCCCATGTCTAGGTTACAGTACAAGCCCACAGCAACCGCCGCATCCTGTGCCATGGGTGTGCGACGTCTTGATCATTGACGACTTGTAGGCCGTACATTCGCCCGTGATGCCGTTGCATAGCACGTCGGTCCTTAGGATCGAGTTGACGTTGGCGTTCTCGTGCTGCGTCCCCCGGCCGTTATCAGAAAGCGCGCTCGTCCTACACCATGCTGCGACTGTTATCAAGCATGCTCTGAAGCTTAAGGCCTGCCAATGATAACCAAGAGTCGCTTCCATCTCATCCTCGCCTGGTGTCGGGCGGGTGCGAAACTTGATGAACAAGTTGACTTGAAGCGCCAGTTGTGGCTAAGCCCTGCAATTCGCTCATCTTCGCCCATCTTGCCGAGCCCCGAGCTCTCCGCGAGGTGTCCACCTGACTAAATGGCGCACACAAGATGGGCCAGGCGCTAAATGGTGCAAAGTGCTGGTGCCTCGTGCCAATGGCCCCGCAGTAAGATGGGCATGCGGAAACTATCCCTGTCGGTGCTAAAGTCCGGCAGTCGATTAGCAAACTGGCATCAAAGAAACAACAGAAGAAGAAGTCAAGCCCACATCTGTCGGGTCATGTTCGGTCTGATATTAAGTGAAAACCAACCCTTGGCTTTCAGCACTTTACATCTGCCACGTACTTTGCTATGCTTTTCGGATCCACAGTTGGAAATGATCCAAATTTCGCTGCTACGGATGACGACGACAACTAACTAGCACAACTAGTAAAACTTGCGATACTACTAGTTACTAGTACTACTGCACCCATTCGCGTTCTGGTTTGGTGGGTCCGATTGGGTAGGTTCCCAAACAGAGGAAATAAGCTCGCCCGCCCCTCTGCGCGCAGAAAGGTCGGGCCATTTTTGTTCGGACCCTGTTCCAGCAGATATGCAGGGACATATTGTCGGACCCTCGTTATCTCTAGGGTGTATGTATAACAATACCACCAGTACGCCACCACCCACATTGAAAACAGGAACAACTGCTGCTTCTGCTCGGTGGCCTTTGACCAAAACCCACTCAGGGCCCATGGCTGCAAGCTCTCTGGCAGCCTGCCGCATGGCTTCGACCTGAGTTCGGTCTATGCCAAGCAGGTGGGCACCCTCCCCTACATGCAAAAATTCTGCACAGAGCACTTCTACTCCCTTCTGCTCTTCCCGCCCCCATGAGCTCCTAGCAGTGTCGATGCCATCGCGGCCCAGGAGGAGCCGAGCCTGGCCGAGAGCATCAAAAAGCGCGCTTGATCACTGGACCTGCGGTGAAAGAACCTGGGTCTCGTAGCCTTGCAGACCTCCTGTTGTTCCACGTCAGCAGACTATGACCCGACTCTAGACTCGACTGAAATAGTCATAGTCTAGACTTTCGACCGGAGTAAATTTATAACCATTCCCACGAAAAGTCGCAGAAAAACATCACCCCTCGGCCCTCGGGCAAGCCTCGGGCAAGTTCGGAGTGATGATCGTCGCAAGTGGAAACCTGGAAGGTCGGACATGGGGGCGAGGCTGCCCTACTTGCAAGCATCAGAGGTGTGCATTCTGGGTGCAGTCAATGATTCTTTCCAGCTTGCAGCGCAACCGGCCCTGAAGAATGAGACAAGTTAAGGCCTCACTCGCATGACCTCGAAGCCCAGAAGTGGCTTTCCGTGCGAATAAGGAGTCAGGAAGCCCGACCCAGCCCTTGCATTCCACAAACTGGGGGAGACGAGACGCAGCTCTTTCTTGACGCTCTCCACGGCATCCGGCTGCAACAGCCTGTCGCCCGCTATATATGGCTGGTGGCTTGTTCCTGCTAAGGTCCCATGCAGCTCGATCCCCACCGGCGGAACAGCAGCGTAGAGGAGAAAACGGCTTGAAGCTCAACACTCTGAAGCTGATTCAATCTGTTCAGAGAAAGACTTCGATGTCCCGGCAGTGCCACTCCTCTTGACGTCCTAGCGGTCCTAGCGACCTATAGTACCAATCAGTGCCACGACCATTGAAGTCCTGGCAACCTCTAGTAGACT